ACAGCGTTAATAACTGAATTAAAGATATTGGTGTTCGGATTAATTTTCTTAGTTAGACCATTTTCTATCATTCTAGATAGTTTTCAAAGCAAAATTCAACAAAAAATTGTTTTGTATTTATCAGATTTTTCAAAACAAAATGGCGAAAGAAGTCCCTTAAAATAAATATGAGTTTTAACTCCGCCCACTTTCATATTATATATTTCTTATTAATTTTTTAAAAAAATATGAAATATATTTTGACTGATATAGCACCATATTATTTAGGATCACACATTATGTTCTATAAGAACCACAGTACATGTACATTAGATAATGTAGATGATCCGACTGTCAGCTAACATGATCCCCTCATATATATTCTATCAGAACGAGAGCAAAAGAAGTTTTTATGATATTTTGGTCATTTAAAGTGATCTTAGTAAACATGTTCTTTTGAGAATCAGAAAATTTCTACATGCAAACAATCATATGGACATTACTTGATCTCCTCATCTGTGTTTCAGATAACTAGAGTTAATTTACATCTCAAAGACTCCTGGTCATCTTACATGATCCCTCTATATATTTTACAAATAAATATAGAATATCTATATAAAAAAATCGTTTATATGTTAATCTAGATTACCCCCTGCTCATTTTACGTGACCCCCTCATAATTTTTTCATAATGAAAAAGAATATATTTACATCTAGATGATCCACCGGTCATTATACATATCCCCTCATAAATGTTTTATAATAACTAAAACGTTCATGCATCTACAAGTCTTCCTGATCATCTAAGGTGACCCCTCATACATTTTCAATAACAAATTATATATATGTGCATCTAGATGATCCTGTGCTCATTTTACATTATCCTAATACAACTTTTACAAAACCTTGATTATATGTTCATGTAGATGATCTTTTAGTCCTCTTATATGACTCCAAATATATCTCATTTGAACCAGAGTATATGTACATTTAGATGATCCTTCAGTCATTTTACATAATATCCTCACATAAGTTCATATAGTGTTACATTATTACGCATATGAATGAAAAGAAAAAAACATTATTATACAATTGTATGTCCTGAAGACTTTAATATATTTCCATTTTTAGACATAGGTATATATTTATAAGGCGGATTAAGCATATGTACTATTTACCAATGGCACTCAGTGACACTGATTATTTCCACTACACCATAGTCTAGTTTCATAAGGATGATAACGCTTTATCAAAATTCGTGCTTAATTTATAGGCAGGCGGGGCTTAATAAGCTAAGTGTTAGAAAACTGTGATTCTATCCAAGATTCAAATTATCGAATAAATATTTTTCATTATACAATAAAAAAAATTTAATTATACAACGTATATTTTCAAATATAGTAAGAGGATATTTTTTCGTTTGAGTGAAATATGGAGTATTTTCACGAAACATGATAAATGCCACATATTTTCACGAGCCGGGACGGCGAAGTGAAAATATGTGGCATTTTATCATGTTTGAGTGAAAAAATTATACCACATTTCACGAAAAACGAAAAATAACCTTTTTATTTAATTTCATTATCATATCAAAGAAAAATGGTTACAAACCCTATTGCTTGCTACGCAACTGCAATTGTACAGCGCGCAGTAATATATTATTGCGTCTTGTTTTGCAGGCGATATTTGGCGCTACATTGTGACGTCACGTAAACAACTCTTTAAACGTCTGTACAGCGTTAATAACTGAATTAAAGATATTGGTGTTCGGATTAATTTTCTTAGTTAGACCATTTTCTATCATTCTAGATAGTTTTCAAAGCAAAATTCAACAAAAAATTGTTTTGTATTTATCAGATTTTTCAAACAAAATGGCGAAAGAAGTCCCTTAAAATAAATATGAGTTTTAACTCCGCCCACTTTCATATTTATATTTCTTATTAATTTTTTTAAAAAATATGAAATATATTTGACTGATATAGCACCATATTATTTAGGATCACACATTATGTTCTATAAGAACCACAGTACATGTACATTAGATAATGTAGATGATCCGACTGTCAGCTAACATGATCCCTCATATATATTCTATCAGAACGAGAGCAAAAGAAGTTTTTATGATATTTTGGTCATTTAAAAGTGATCTTAGTAAACATGTTTCTTTTGAGAATCAGAAAATTTCTACATGCAAACAATCATATGGACATTACTTGATCTCCTCATCTGTGTTTCAGATAACTAGAGTTAATTTACATCTCAAAGACTCCTGGTCATCTTACATTATCCCCTTATATATTTTACAAATAAATATAGAATATCTATATAAAAAAATCGTTTATATGTTAATCTAGATTACCCCTGCTCATTTTACGTGACCCCCTCATAATTTTTTCATAATGAAAAAGAATATATTTACATCTAGATGATCCACCGGTCATTATACATATCCCCTCATAAATGTTTTATAATAACTAAAACGTTCATGCATCTACAAGTCTTCCTGATCATCTAAGGTGACCCCTCATACATTTTCAATAACAAATTATATATATGTGCATCTAGATGATCCTGTGCTCATTTTACATTATCCTAATACAACTTTTACAAAACCTTGATTATATGTTCGTGTAGATGATCTTTTTAGTCCTCTTATATGACTCCAAATATATCTCATTTGACCCAGAGTATATGTACATTTAGATGATCCTTCAGTCATTTTACATAATATCCTCACATAAGTTCATATGGTGTTACATTATTACGCATATGAATGAAAAGAAAAAAACATTATTATACAATTGTATGTCCTGAAGACTTTAATATATTTCCATTTTTAGACATAGGTATATATTTATAAGGCGGATTAAGCATATGTACTATTTACCAATGGCACTCAGTGACACTGATTATTTCCACTACACCATAGTCTAGTTTCATAAGGATGATAACGCTTTATCAAAATTCGTGCTTAATTTATAGGCAGGCGGGGCTTAATAAGCTAAGTGTTAGAAAACTGTGATTCTATCCCAAGATTCAAATTATCGAATAAATATTTTTCATTATACAATAAAAAAAATTTAATTATACAACGTATATTTTCAAATATAGTAAGAGGATATTTTTTCGTTTGAGTGAAATATGGAGTATTTTCACGAAACATGATAAAATGCCACATATTTTCACGAGCCGGGACGGCGAGTGAAAATATGTGGCATTTTATCATGTTGAGTGAAAAAATATACCACATTTCACGAAAAACGAAAAAATAACCTTTTTATTTAATTTCATTATCATATCAAAGAAAAATGGCTACAAACCCTATTGCTTGCTACGCAACTGCAATTGTACAGCGCGCAGTAATATATTATTGCTTCTTGTTTTGCACGCGATATTTGGCGCTACATTGTTACGTCACGTAAACAACTCTTTAAACGTCTGTACAGCGTTAATAACTGAATTAAAGATATTGGTGTTCGGATTAATTTTCTTAGTTAGACCATTTTCTATCATTCTAGATAGTTTTCAAAGCAAAATTCAACAAAAAATTGTTTTGTATTTATCAGATTTTTCAAACAAAATGGCGAAAGAAATCCCTTAAAATAAATATGAGTTTTAACTCCGCCCACTTTCATATTTATATTTCTTATTAATTTTTAAAAAATATGAAATATATTTGACTGATATAGCACCATATTTCATGGGTAAAATTAAATAATACATACATATAGAAAATTATCGCACACAAATATTTTTTATGATGAACAAATATTCAGCAGGATTGAATATATTTTGTGGTTTAGAATATATAAAATTAGAGTTATACAATATATATTGGATATAGACCAAAAAACAGATTTATTGAATTTTGCAACGTTTAACATGCCATGAAGTACTAAGTCTTAGACTTTTGGCAGGAACATTTTCTTGTGGACCTCTACCAAGACTGTTTACATAATGCCCCCTCTGTCTCGTAGAGTATATTTTTTACATCTATACATAAAGATTCTATCCTGCAAATATTCAAAAGTTAAATCTAAGATTTTTGTCATGAAACATTGTCTAGTAAACTAGAGCTTAGATATTTGGCAGGAAATATGGCGGGTCAAATAAGACTATGTGACCTTTTTCTTTCTTTTTTTTCAGCTACAGCTATGAAATTTGGGCATATTTGACATTTGAAGAGATAGCAGTGAACAGAGCTTAAGCTATACAATTTAGACTTTTAACACAGTCTCCGAAGCAAAATTAAACTTAGATTAACCAAGATTTAAAGTTTGTCCCAGTGATATACTTTTTGTTAACAGCGCTAAAGCTCTGAACTTTGATATCAGTTGACCTAGATTTTGACCTAGCGACCTAGTTTTTAGTAATTAGAGCAACACGTATCAATTTTCTACTACTTTCACAGTGTCAGATTAGATTTTAACTGTGATATCTGCTGACCTAGAATTCAACAAAATGAATGATGGATTTTCGTCCATTACTTTCAATGTCTTTAGATCTCAGGAGTTTTTAAGTCTTTAGACTTAGGTGAGAAATATAAGGCTATAATGGCGCTCTTGTTTTGTTTTGTTTGTTTGTTGTTTTTTTGGGGGGGATTTGTAAAAATTGCTCTTAAATACATTTATTTGCGTCAGTGCAAGTTTAATATAATCAATCTAAAAGCGTAGTCATCCACTATAAAGTTTATTTCTACTCATCAAGACTCAAAATCTAAAAGTACTTTTCTGCCAAATATAAGACTTCTATAAAAAATGCAATTCAGGGAAGATATCAATGCGAAAATGTCTTATTCTAGGATTAAACGTCAATCTGTATAGTAAAATAACAAAATGTTTATTTAAAATGTGATGTTGTATTTCCTTTCTGAATAATCTACTAGTATATAAATACCAAAAAGCGGATTTGTAGATGTATGAAACCTCTTATTTAGCGCTCTACCCGAAAGATATGTATATTTGATTGTTTAGTTTCATTTAGGTCGGCTATCAAGTAGAACTTAAACATAAATGTACTCACAAATCTTTTGCATTCTTCCTCTTCTTTCCAATAACGACCTTCAGTAAAATATACTTTTTTCAATCCGTTTATCAACATTATAAGTTGACTTAAGAAATTTGAGACCCCATTCTTTTCTTTGTATTTCAGATCTGGAAAGAATAACCACATGTATGTCTCTATGTGTTGAAAAACCGGGTCATTCCACCAGTTCTTCAAAGTCGTAAACATCTTAGATTTATGTTCGAAAAATCCATCGTGTTGGCACCAATTATCTGTAAGTACATATAAATGAGTAATAACCCATATAAATAGAATCTTCAATCTGGCTTGAAACTAATAAGATAAGAAAATACTAAATGCCAATTATATTATTGGTAATTTGTGTATAATAATATTCTTTCGAAACGTTTCCCTTTTTAGCCATTTTTCATATTGAAACATCTTATCATATACCATATCTAGCTCATAAGTTAAACTTGAAATGAGTTTGAAAGATAAGGATGCCCCACTATATGTTTTAGGACACTGGATAATATGATAAAGAAGTTATGACAGGACACTGTCAGTTGGTTATTCAAATATACATAGAATAGCAATAAAATACGAGTACTTTTTCAAGTAAAAGGACAAATAGCTGTTAATAGAAACGGTTTTTTAATATCAACAGTGTTTCAAATTGCCTTGATGCATGACCGAGATATGGGCTAGAAAAGGTTGTTGATCACATACAAGCACATACGGATTGTGGTAGCACTAACTGCATCATTTCCATTATCATGACGGGGTCATTAAATTGCGATCAAACGTAAAGACATATTTGTGTTTATTTCTAAATTGACGCAATTTAGACATAATGAATATTACAAAACAAACTAACTTGCTAAACTTCTATAGCTCTCAGTTACGACTATCGTTTTTCGAGATTTTCAAGCTCTATATAAATCTTACCATCTTTATTTTTCTTCGGAATTGTTAACGTTCTCGTTAAACATCCTTTTGCACGTTCCTCTTTCTCAAAGGTTCCGTCTTTTCTGCCCAACTCGTAATTGTATGCCAAATATTTGTCGTTTGTTATTTTATCATAAGGTACCTCCAAAGTACACGAGAGTTTATATATTCCTTCATGGTCACTAGGTGAAAATAACATTTAAAATTATTATGTAAGAAGAAAAAGAAACAACATAATATTGCTGTGCACGAATTGCATGTATGTTAGATAAGCAAAACAAAATAATAAGCGATGTTCATATAAAGTTTGTTTATTTAAGATACTAAAAGAATCATAACTTGATTCTTAATTTTAGTTTGAACTATCATATAACACAGAAATTTATAGTTTGACAAAAATATTATATTTGTTTTGGTAACGTAACTAAGACCACAATGTTATTCACATAATGTAACAGAAAGAATGCTCATAAAAAGCCTTAGTTAGTAAATTGAATTTTAATGTACACAAAGTTGATGAATTTGTGCTTGTGCAATGAACAGTGTAACTTTGTACAGTGTAAATAAAACAAAAAGCGCCGCAATGCGACGAAAACCAGGTTTTCGACGACCAAGTTTTGATGTGACAGCAATTAATAGGTCATAATGCACTGACGTTATTGAGTAAGAGCTGAAAATTCTAATGTAAGCAAATGACATTGACCTCGCTCCCAGATATCTAAGTGGCATTCCAAAGTCGCACACAGCAAGTTTGGTGTCAAAAGGTCAAAGCAAACTCAAGTTATTACGAGAAAACTGAATACATTAACCTTGATCACAGACACCTGGGTAGCAATCCCAAGCAGACTCTTGATATAAGCTACCTACACACCAAGTTTGGTGCCAGAGCAAACTAAAGTTATTGAGCGGAAACCAAAAGTTGACGCCCGTCCGCCCATCGGCATTACAATAACCCGGTTTTCGTTGAAAACATACTTTAAATTGAAGAAACAAAGCAAGAATTTTGTAATCATAGCAGATGGAAGAATTAATATTGCATTGACCTTGACCCAAACGAAGTTTAAATATAAGGCTTAGCTTGCTTTATACCAAACTCTTTATCTCACTCCTAATTCTACTTATCAACCTGGAAACAAATTTCTTTTTATACCCTACGGGGCGCAAAAGCAATCCAAACTGCGCTTCAAAAGAAATAATACACAAATGTAATAAAAAACTCATTCCTTAATCTAGTAAGTCGCCGGAAACCAATGGTTATTTTGGTAACGGTAACCTTTTAATGACTACAGGGAACCCAAAAGCAATTCTTGATATACACAAAGCTTGATTGAAATATCTTATTCCAAACTCTAATTATTGACTTGAAACAGATTTTCCATTTTTTTATAACAGTGACATTGAACTTTGGAAAACCTGGTTAAAATGAAATCTATGATAAGTTAACAAAGATGTGGCCAATTGTTTCGAAATTCACTTAAGTATTTGACCTTAACGATCAATATCATTTATAAGTGAAAGTCAAATTCAGTACAGTCAACAAAGAGATTTTGTCCAAAGGATTGTTGTGTCCATGTGTAAAGGCAATCCATTGAGGAATTGAAAAAATATGACAAACAATATTTTTCGACAGAAACGGCAACCGTCAACGGTAACATGACGGTATCAGGTTATTTTTTTATTTAAAAAAGTCGAGCCAAAACACTACTTATAGCCGCTGCTTTACTTTGCATTGATACGCACTGAGGAGAAAAGGTAAGAATTAATTGGAATATAAAATGAAATATATATTCATTTCAAATCGCTACAAATTCAAATGCGAATGTGTAAACATGTAAAGTAAAATATGTATATATTACCTGAGTAAAGGATGAAGAGCAAACTTTTTTTCTTCATTGTCTTTAAAGACTAGAAATACCTGGTCTTCATTTGGATTGAATGGCGCTTGTTCATCACTTATTGCCAGATTAAACTGAACATTCTTCTTTTTCGATCTCCTGTAAATAAAACATGATGAATTAGTTCTTATCCTGGCCAAAAGTTACGGGAGAAACACATTTATTCATCCCGTTAAATTGGTCAGGAAATTACCTTATAAAAATAACCTTTTTCGCGCCAACAATTTCAATGAATTAATCCTACAATTTTATTTAAAACAAGAGCCACAGCCTAGCGGTCTTTTCTTGTTTTCTCAAGTCAATCACATCAGAGGACGAATATCATAGTAAAGTAATCCTTCAAAACATTTTTTTTTTAACATTTAGATTTTAAATTTCGTATTTGGCATTGACAGTCAAAGTCATTTGAATGTCAAAGCAACATTTGAAATAATCATCATGTCAGTTTGTCCCATATGTGTTCTTTGTCGAGAATACTTCACATCCATTAATGAATAATAAAATTATGACATTTTAAACAAATTTCAATAAATTAACCCAGACTTTCAAGATAAATTTCAGCAGAAAGTCGTATCAGAATAATTCGACTTGTCGGATTTGTCATGTGTGTTTATTTGTTTGAGTATGAATGAAACCCGTAAACAATAAAAAGTTTATGACAATTTAAGCAAATTTCAATAATTTGACCTTGACGGTCACTTTCAGATAAAGGTCATGTCGTAAAAGAATATTTTAACTTGTACTATTTCAAATGTGTGTAACCAAGTGCTTTTTAAGGTTTTTGCTATTTTCCAAAAAAAGACAACTCTGTCGACCTTATCTTTTTTACTCTTAACTTTGTGTGATTATTTCACCTTGACCATATGTGCTATCTGCTCATTTCTGTTTTGACCCAATCTATGAATAATAAATTAACTTCTTGATTGTCCCGCTGAATTTTACTTTTGTGATATTTTGAGCAGACTAAAGTTATTTAATGTGTTCCTAACTAATGCCTGACTAACAAAAAAGGAAGCAATTTAAGATTCATACTTGGCAAAGTTTCAAAATCAAGGTCATTGATGAGTAAGTCATAATCATTTTTATCTCCTGTAAGGTACTGCAAATAGGATTGTTATGTTCAAGTATTAAAACATTACATTCATATAGCCACTTATACCGGAAATCAAGCAAAATTCATTAATCTGACCTTCGAGATCAAGATCATTGATGAGTGAAGGTCATAATCAATTAAGTTTAATGTGAGGTCATGCCTACAAAATTGTTGTATCCAAGAATGAAGACAGTCCATCAATAAACTACAAAGTATTTGACAATTTTAGGAAAATAACAACAAAATTCAAACTTTTGACCTCGACGGTCAAGGTCATTATTTATTCAACTTCAAGTTCAGTCTGGTCTATTTGTACATCTTGTCGAAAAGTTTGTTGCGTCTAAGCCTGCGTCACATTACACTCCGATTAAGTTTACAATGGGGTACTGATGTCTAAACGGGCTGAAATTGCTAAATTTCTAAAGGTCTCCGGCCAGTGACCCTCCGTTGTCAAGTGACCGGTGGGGCACCGTACAGGTAATCGGAGAATTTTAGTGCAGAGTTATTTTCTTCCGGCATCCGGTACATCGCAAGCTCACCGTATCAGACACGGTAAAATATCCTCCGATACCCGGCCGGACACCTTTCATTATCGGTTACATACCGATTAAAATTTTCACCTCCTGGGCGCCAAATATTCATCCAGTTTCCGAGCGGTATATAAGCGGTCACCGAAGGCGCGTCTCGACAGGTTACTGACCAGGGCCCGGATGGACGCAGTACGTTGCACGTATGGTCCTAAGGTGTCCGTAAGGATAGCGTTAAGGTTATTAAACAGACCTTAGGCAGGTAAAGCTTTTGAGTGTGAATTAGGCCACCCGTGGTCAATTCTTGGACAACGGTGAAGGTCACTTTTGTTGTTCAGAAGTTATCAGAACCTTGCGAAAGTGAAAGAGATTATTACTGTTAAACAGCTTGACAGACTGTCCAAGAACGATGCGGTGGCAGAACTGTGCTCTGATATGTATATTCAAGTTGGCTTACTGCCATAGTCATCAGGGTAAATCATAAAACCACCATCATTCTCTCATTATCCAGCGTGCAGAGCTGTGTCGGTTAAATCGCTAGACTTATAATCTGGATATTGTGGGTTCGATTCCCGGGATGGCCAACTGAGATTAATAGGAATCTTTAGGACTAGACTTTGAAGCAAAGTCCCGTGTATGAGTGCTTAAACACTTAGATAGGTGAAGAAGAAGGAGAAGATTGTTTGGTGTACTGCTTGGCTCTTTACCTGCCGTAAGGGAGGAGGGTCAACGGCCAGATACCTTTAAAAATTTGGCAATTTCAGCCCGTTCAGACATCGATACCCCATCGTAAACCTAATCGGAGTGTAATGTGACGCAGACTTCACTATTGCAATAGCTCGAATTTCTTCTTCGAAAAAGTCGAGCTATAAATCGCTTAGCGATATGCCTAGGTAACAGTCTATTTACAACCACTTGCACAATATCTAAAGGAATAATCTGGTCTAAATGCATCGTAGGTGCATTGGAACGACACTTTACATTTGAGTTGAAAACTAAACAAAACAAGAAAATGCTTGTTTTTCTTAACAAATTAAGCTTGTCAATAACTTTCATCCGTAAATAATCATATGAATATTGCTTATAATCATACTGAAGGCCTAAATACAACAAACTTGTAATGATAAAGATAACAGTTACTAATTCCCCGATTTTAAGCATGTGCAATAGGTAATTCATGTCAAACGTATTGACACAATATCAATAGAATCAAGACGACTTAGGACATCCTCTGCTTGGCCAATGTTGTAGTTTTTCAACTCCCGCCTCGTTTTGATTTACAATAATTATTATAATTTCTTAAAGGTAAGCATTAAAAATGACAGTCAATATGGAAACCTTCTACTAAATTGCTGAAATTCATACAAATCAATCACTATCATAATACACATCACTGGCCAACGATTGTTAAATATGATACAGTCCTATAAGCTAGTTCAAAAGCAATGTTCATATATACATGTATATAAAGGCAGTATCTAGCACAATAAACTGTCTATAATTGCACCGTAAATGCTTTGATAAATTGATATTCATTTGTCAATTATACTGCATACTTTCTCCGTAAAATTTAAGCATGTTTGGCAATTTTAAAAGGGAGGCTCGAGTACATGTTCAAACTTTTATGTTATTGCTGTTATAATTTTACCCAAAACTGCCATATATTTGTGACACCATCTTTTGTCGTTTCTGTAAATTTAAGAATTTTTGTACTTGCAATGAAGAAGCTGTCTAATTTTAAAATTTTGCTAAATAAGTATCCAGTTCTTAGTACTTCTCCCCTAATTATTTATCAAAATAATTGACAGTTATTGCTGTACTTGCAGATGTGAAATTACAATGTCTCAGTGGTACTAGTAGCAAACAAAATGGGCCCAGAGGGCCCTGGATCGCTCACCTGAGAAATAGGTCAAAATGTCAAAGTTGAGCCCCTTTTCACTCAAGAAGAAATAGCGAAAATTAAAACATTGCGAAAAATACCGGATTTAAGGTACATATAAGGAAAATTAATGGCCCCCTGGGGTGGGGCTAATTTTGACCCTAGGGATTTTATTTCAACAGACATGGTAGACATATACTAGAAAATGTTTCATGCCAAACATCTATGCTCTACCTCTTTTGTATTTTCACAAGAAGGTTTTTTAAGTTTTAACTATATACATGTATATATATGGAAAATCAATGTCCACTTGGGCGGGGCTATTTTTGACCCTAGGGCTTTTATTTGAACAAACTATGTATAAATCCACTAGAAGATATTTCAGGCCAAATATCTAAGCAGCCCTACCTCTTTTGAATTTTCACAAGAAGATTTTTTTTAGTTGTTACTATATAAATATAAGGAGAATCAATGACCCCTGGGTCGGGCCAATTTTGACCCTAGGGTTTTTATTAGAACAAACTGGGTAGACATCTACTAGAAGATGTTTCATGCCAAATATCTAAGCTCTACCTCTTTTGGATTTTCACTAGAAGATTTTTTTAAGTTTTTACTATATACATATAAAGGAAAATCAATGACCCTCTTGGGCGGGTCAATTTTGACCACAAAGCTTTTATTTGAACAAACATCCACTAGAAGATGTTTCGTGCAAAATATCTAAGCTTTAGCCCTTTCCGTTTTTAACAAAAAGATTTTTTGTCAAAATAACTTTTGATTGCCCTGGCAACCAGAGTTCTTCATGTAATTTAATTCTTTGAACAACTTTGGTAGAGCTTCATGCAAGGAACATCCCTGCAAAGTTTCAGCAAATTTAGCCAAGTGGTTTAGAAGAAGATGTTGTTTAAAGAAATTGTTGACGCACGCACGCACGGACAATGGGCCATCACAAAAGCTCACCTTGAGGACATCGTCCTCATGGAGTCATTAAAATCACAAGTCTCCTACAAAATTGTTTCCGTTTGTTACTTAAAATATATAAACTTAACGTTGAAATGTATGAACCCTTAAATTTCTAGATTTTGAAAATTTATGCTTCTATAATATTTTAATTTAAACAAGAGCCATGTCAACATGGCCATCCCCCGCCGAATGTGTTTGCTCATTGGAAGAATGTATATGTAGTAGAGCAGAATAATTCAATTTTAAGAGGTCTTTTGGTAATGAAAACTGATGGCTGAAGTGATTACAGATTTGAAACCTATGTGACTGATGGCTGAAAATAACAAAGGGCAATAACTGAAAAATAATGCAGGGAAGGTTATCATTCTTGTGTGCTGCACTCCTCCTCAGTAGTACTTTTTGAGATAAGCTCCGGACAAAACAGTATGAAAAATAACAAAGGGCAATAACTTAAAAATCATGAAAGGTAGAGTTATCATTCTTGTGCATTGCACACCTCCTGAGTGAGATGTATGCACCTATGAAGTTTCATGTTGATATCTAAAAGGCGTTTTGAGTTATGCTCTGGACAAAAATTAATTTTGAAAAATAACAAAGGGAAATAACTCAAAAATTATTCAGGGTAGAGTTATCATTC